ACTGATGAATTTCCTCAGCTGAACATTCTCCCAGATAGTGTAGGGAGATGTAGCCAGCCCCTACTCAGCTGCAACTCAGGCAGCCCAAAGCACAGTGCGCATGTCAGTGGCAAGGAGAAGATGAGCAGACTGGCAGGAATGCTACTGCATTCTGGCTATTCTTGGCTGGCGTATCAGCCCCTGGTGGCGCTAAGCAACTGAAATACTTTAAAGCAATCCTGAGGCTGCTCAAAATTATGCCTGAACCCCAGCATTAGGGAGTCACACCTAGCTCCTCTGCAGTCCCTTCACCCCCATCTACACCCCATGGAATTGGGTTCTGCTGAGAATCTAGGCCCAAATATTTAAGGCTAGAACTGGTTTGACAGTGAAGTCTTGTACAGTTTGTTCATTCATATTCTACCCCCCTCCTTTCCTGTCTCTCTAAGGTGGGCAGTTCCCTAAAAACTCTGGCTGTTGCTGGCTCCATAGAATATGTGCAATCAAACAGCTGTTTGGCAGTTATGCACAGTTACAGATGTGCCCCTGCTGATTCATCTGCATAATAATAAGCCCCATGCACATTACTTGATTCAGTGTAGATTGAGAATAGAGCCATTAGCAAGAAAGCCCACAGCATAATTAGTAAACAACCTATTTCTTCTCACTGCTATTTCTTTATCTTCTCTCGTTCACTGATTTCTGGAGTAGGAAGGGAGCATGTCAACCTAATATTTCCCCTTTTTAAAATTTCTCTATTGACTTTAATTAACCTTCCTTAAGGCTCACAAGCATAGTAAGTATCACTTTTAAAAGCAAAGGAAAAATGATTGTTTGCTGTATGAGAATTCCAAGGCAATCATAATGCTGGCAATTATAAATAAAAAGGTCTGCTATAATGAAACAGGTGGGTTTTTTAAAGTCAAAATGTATTACAACTGACAATTTGGACTTTATTGATGCAATACGTTTTTGTTTGTCTGACTGACTGATTATAAAACACATTGTTATTATTGAGCTCCGTGTCATGAATGTGAAATAAAGATATGTGAGAAGTTGATTTGGTATCATTACATTTGCCAATGTATGAAATGGTATTTTCTTGGAACCACATAATGTTTTGTTTGTGTGGTTATAACGTGAAGGCAGCATCTACTACACCTAAGAAAGCATTTTCCATCAGAGACAGAGATTCTGTCAGAATGAATGTTACTGATGATAGGCTTGACCATTACAAAGTACATCATAGCTGGCCATCACCCTTTCTCCAAGATCTAACTGCTATTTGGTCAGTGCTTAGTTTTCAGAAATGCTGAGTGTCCTCAACCACAAACTAAAGTGGCTAGAATCTGTGGGTATTCATCATCGCTGAAAATCAGGCCTGCAGATAAATAAAACTACCACGCCCATTTGAAATGGCATCACATGGTGTTTCCTGATAACATGCTCCCAAAGCTCTTCTGGAAGAAAAGTTTATGGCTACAAATTTGAATGTTTTTTCTGAACATATATTTCAGAACATTGCCATTGAACGTCAGATCAAGTTATGCATATGTTAGCTTCATACCAAATATTCATAAATTCAGTACGTCAAGAAGTTTGACTACATAGCCAGAAGGGTAACAAAATAATTGTCCTGGCCCAATTCTCATGCATTCTCAGGGCCCCTTCACTCTGCTCTGACAGTATACATGAGATTTAAAATAATTGTGAATTACATTCACATTCCTAGAGTGGGATAAAGGGGGACTTAGTGCAAATGAGAAATAAGGCCAGCCAGTTTATTTTGATTTCTCTGTAGATGCTGGCAACAAAAGACTGAGGGTGGTCAAAGATACTTTGTAAAGTCCTTATGGTGAACAAAACTGTCCAGTGGGGTAGAAATGTTGAGTAATACTGGAACCAATTTCCTGTGATTTGAGCAAATGCATATAATTAAGCCTAAACATTCCGCCATTGTCTGCCCTTACCAAATAGGATCTTGGTGTGTGTAACTTGGCTTTGATGGTGCCAAGGAAACAATGGCCATCAGGATTCCATATGTAATCACATTCTTTCCTTCCTAGAAGGGAGGTAAGGTTGTAGTGTTCAATTTGTAATATTTGTGCTGACAAATCTATTTAGCCCTTAGCTTTTCTTGAGCTGTAGCTGGACTGAGAACTTCTGGTTTCAACTATCAATTTGTGAAAGGCAAAACTGATCATAAATTATGACTCATTAATAGCTGAACAGGTGATCCCAACAGAAAATGGTTTTAATAACAAAGGTTAAAAAATAATCCATTTGGAAGATGTCTTATTTTACCTGAAATTAATTTAGGATCATGAGAACAAAGGAAAGTTTAAAGGATGCAGGGAAGGCCATTCAATTTATTTCTCTGTACCAAAATGAAAAAGGGAGCCTGATCTCATCTATACTGGTTTTATATAGGTGCATTTCTATTGACTTCACTGGAGTTACTGTTTGTTTACACTGGTGAAACTGAGATCAGAATAAGTGCCAGATTATATTTATTTATTTTATTTTGTGAAAGCTCTGGATCTCATGGAAAATCTGTTGTATCCACTTTGAATCTAAGGTTGATTACTTTTGAAGGGGATTAGAGGGAGCAAATTGTGAAAGCCCACACAGTTTCATGGTATTAATATATTTTAACAGCCTACATGCTGTCAGAATTGCACAAAAAGTGTTAAGAAATTTTTTAACAACAAAACAAAAATAAACAACAACAACAACAAAAACCCCACCAACTCAAGCAATACTGGATTCCTGACATTTTGTGAAATGAGAAAATATATAAGCAACATTATTACACTAAGAATGGAAACATTATTCAAGTGGATCCAGGAAAAAATCATCAGGAAAGCACCTTATGCTTGATCCTGAAATTAGAGAGGAGAAAAGGGGAATATATTATGGTTCTCTATCTTATTGATGAAGTGACATGCTGCCTATATAGTAACAGGGAGCCTTCCACAAATATTGTATCCTTTAGTCTATGTACAGTCTGGTACTGGCCACTAGTTCCTATAGCCTGGACACTTCCATTAGCCTGTGATACACCAGTACCTCCTGATTCTGCCCAATTCTTTTTCTGGAGCCTTCCTGTTTTACCCTGAGTTCCTGGTGTCTGCTCTTCTCCCCCCCCCATTAGCTTTTCACCTCTTTCCTCACTAGTTTCTTCACCCATTTTGTCTGCTTCCCGTTTACCAGATATTTCTCAATGAGGGGTTGTCTATGCTACCTGTTTTTGCACCAGTTTTATGCCAATGTGGCTCTACTGGTGCTGAACGGGAGCAGACCGCTAGTGTAAAAAGTGACGTGTTCTGGTGCAGTTTAACCAGCTGTTCTGTTTTTTGGCTGGGAAAAAACACTCAAGCCTGCTTGATCATGAAAGTTTTTCAAAGTTCCTTCCTGCTTTTCTCCATCACTGAGGTGGCATTAGGGAGGACAAGGCTGGAAGCTTTCTCTGCTTCCCTTCTATCCACAACAATCTATCTAAGGTATTTATATGGCACCCATTTCTCTAGTAACTGAGTTCCTCACATTCTTTAATTCATTTATCCTCACACCACTCCAGTAAGGTAGAGAAGTGCTATTTTTCCCATATTACAGATGGGGAACTGAGGCATGAAGAGGCTAAATGACTTGCCCAAGGTCACACAGGAAGTCTGTGGCAGAGCAGTGACTTCTATTCAAGTCTCCCAAATCCTATGTTAGTGCCCTAACCAGTAGGCCACCCATCTTCTCTTCCTCTCAAAATCCTCAGTGGCTCTGACTCTACTTTTCTTCCTCGCTGCTGTTTTCCATGGGTCCTCCACTAGCACCTCCAGCAGATCACTATATTCCCATCTCTGTTTCAAAACTGGAGCAGTAACAAATCTCCCCCTTCTATGATCTTATGCTGGCTTCAGCACTAGAGAAGTTGGATATAATTTTAATTTTCAGTGGTGCAGTGTTGGTGCAAATATCCTCAAATTCGCAAACTGAAAACAGATTATCTTGGAAAATTTCTAATACTCACTCCTCCTTTCTAACGTGCTAGAAACACCACACAAACAACCTTTCATGCATAAATATATACTTCCATTTCTGGTTTTGGCCACACCCAGGAAGTATAGAAATTCAGATACAAAATATTTAATTTAATTATTTCTAAAAATACATCTTTTAAAATATTATTGAACGTCCAAAAAACCCTAAGCTTTGAGTTGGATTCACTTCAAAGCTTGGATGTATGCTTAACCGAACGTGTGAAAATGTTAAAGAATTCCAAACATAAGACTGCAGTTGTACCACTACGAGCCAAACAATAATGTCTGGAACTATTGCTATAGAATGCTCGGAGCAGTACATCCATGATATCCTACTGGCAGCTCCCAGAGAAGTAAAGCATTGAAAGATAGATGGGTTGAAAATGAAGAGCAGGAGTTCAACTAATAGCAACTACTGGGTAGATTTCTAAACAGAAACGTGCCAAGATTTGAATGCCATGGAAAATTCCTGTTTCTTGGCTCCATCTTCTCCCTTCCTTCAGCTCTGCTCCCAGTTCCAGAGAGGATCTCATTCCCCAGTTGCACTGAGGGCTATCCGGATATGGGATAGCCAGAAGGTAGCCTGCAACCACATTGGTAGGTCCCAGGGAATTTAGTTTTGTCTGAACATTCTTCTCTTTGACTTTGTAAATGTTATTGAGACAACTGATAAAATTTAACAGTTGTTGTTAACTAACACATCGCTATGTGTTAGGATGTGTGACTGAAACCTGCCCCTCTCTCAGTTACTACTCTTCCTGCTTTTACATTATATGTGTATTAGTTGTGAAGTATACCTGATAGGCCAAATCATGCTCCCTCCTACACACGAGTGGTCCCACCACATTGGATGAGAGTATTTGCCCAAGTCATGATTATTCCTGGAAGGGTTGGCTTTCTCATGCAAGTAGTCTCACATAGCAAGGGAATAGTGAAGTCAAATGTGATTAATAGTTGCAGGAACAGGCCACATGACCAGGCTCCGTCATGAACAGCGTGGGGGAGGCGTGCACAGAGCTGAAGCACAAGTATGACCAGTGCTTTAACCACTGGTTCGCCAAGAAGTTCCTCAAGGGGAAGAACGCGGGGGACCCCTGCGTGCAGCAATTCAAGTGCTACCAGCTCTGCGTGCAGAAAGCTATTAAGGAGAAAGACATACCCATCGAAGGGCTGGAATTCATGGGTCCCAGTAAAGGAAAAGCTGAAAGCTCCTCCTGATCTTGTTTGGACATCTTGTGCCATTACAATGACCTTTTGGACTTGGAAAAAGAACCTCACATAGACTCAGTCTAGTCCATTGTACAGTAGGGCCTGCTGCTTCTCCAGTTGTGTTCCAGTTTGAAGTCGAAAGGAATTTTGATAGGGTGAGAGACAGATAGGAGATAGATTGGGTCTATATCGTGTATGTATGCATACTCCAGAAGGAGATTTTCTGAGGTACAAAGAGCAATTACACAATCAGCTCCCAGTGAAAGCCAATGGGAATTGGATGCTTGATTCCCCAATTCCCTTTGAATATCTCTCCTACACTCATTTGGGCCAGATTGTATGGCTCCTATCGCAGGCAAAGGCATGATGGAGGAGTGCTCAAAGAGTCTCTTTTTACTTTGTGCTCTGTCATACAACTGTCCCTGAACTAGGGAGCACAAAGGAATGCTCTCAGGGGTGCACTTAACCCATTGATTCTAATGGAGTGGGCCCAGTACACTTGAAAGGTATATACTGCACTGCTTGAAAGGGGGTAGCCATGGGTGTGCTTCTTCGGCTTACCAGGGAGCTCTGGGTAGAAAACTACCTGGAATTCTTCCTCTGGATTCTGTTCTGTCCTCAGTACTTGGCTTTTTCCACATGACATGACTGTCCCTTTAATGGCTGCTCTATTATCCTTATGTAATGATAATGTTGGTATCACTTTTTAAAAACCAATACAAGACGATATCAAAATCCTGCTCCTAAAACACATACTATGAGTGAGGCAGCACTGAAACGGTTATTTAGTCTGGGTTTAAACAATCAAATGTTTTTTTGATTAAACAAGCTATTCAAGCATTGTTACACATCGAACTGACAAGTTCTAGTCACATAATTGTCAATGCACAGTCAAAAAATGAGATTAATTTCCAAAATAATAACAATTCTTTTACCCCACGTGCCATATTTATAAAGTGTTCAGCGCATTTCTTCCAATTATTTCCAACTTTTTAACAAATTATTACACAACAACCTTTTCTTTGTAAAATTACCCCACTTTGATGACTCACTGCACCTTTTCACTCAGTGCATGAATGGACCCTCTTCGTTATACAAAAACAGAGGGAGTGCAATTCCAAAACAAAAGCAAGTCAGCGAAGAAGAAAAAATGATTTGATTGTTAATGCAAACACACACTTTTGAAAAAATTGCTAAATTAATGCAGCTCCAGGGGTCATAATAATAACCTATGTACACTCAACCCTCTTCCAGATGATGCATAGGTTATTACCCTGGAATTAAACAATCATGCATATTTACTTCAAAATTATTTTCTGCAACACACACACATGGATATTAATGAAACAAAACCCACAGATCTGATTAATCTAGGTTATTTTGTCTCAATAAATATAAAAAAAGACACACACAAAAAAACCCCTGGAAATATATAACATTACAGCCAGGAAAATAATAGGAAATGTAGCAATCATTAGCAGGAAGAAAGGAGGAATATTTTTGTCATGAATAAACCTGAAAGAGAAAATAACTTTAAACTGTGGCCTTGGGAAAACAACCTTATCTAACTGCAGGCTCACAATAACAGCTCTCTCCATTTTCCACCATGAAATCCAGCTAAGCACTGATCATGAGAATGCATCCTGTATTAGTTACCCGAATTTGCAATTTTGGGGTGATTCTAAATCCTGTTTGATTATTATATTACAATAGTAACCCTGCCAGCTTTATACCATCTCCTCCAGGAAGTTGTGACCTTTGCTTTCTGGGGAGGACCTTGCCATTGTTATCCAGGCCATTGTTGCTTCAAGATTAGACCACTGTAACATGGTCTACACAATGCTACACCTTAAAACAATTTGCTGGTGCAGATCCCAGGCATACTTTTGGCCTTCACAACATCCCCTGGCAGCAAGATTCACAGATTGACTGTGAATTGTGTGAAGAAGTTGTTTCTTATGTTTGTTTTAAACTTCCTGCCTATTCATTTCACTAGGTGAGTCCTGGTTTATATGTTGTGTGATAGGGTAAATAATTCATGATCTTATAGACTTTATAAATTTCATATTCCCTCTTAGTCATGTTTTTTTTCCAAGCTGGACAGCCCATCTTTTAATTTTCCCCTCATACGGAAGCTGTTCCATACTCCTAATAATTTTTGATGCCTTTCTCTGTACCTTTTCCAATTCTAATATATATATATTTGAGATAGGTTGACCAGAACTGCATACAGTATTCAATGTGTTGGGCACACCATGGATTTATATAGTGGCATTATGATATTTTCTATTTTCTATGATAATATCTATTCCTTTCCTGATGGTTCCTAACATTCTGTTACCTTTGCTGACTGCTGCTGCATGTTGAACAGATATTTTCAGAGAACTATCCACAGTGACTCCAAGATCTCTTTCTCGAGTGGTAACAGCTAATTTAGACACCATTATTTTCTATGTATAGTTGAGTTTATGTTCCCCAATGTGCATTGCTTTCCATTTATCAACACTATGCTTCATCTGCTATTTAGCCCTGGTCTACACTAGGACTTTAGGTCGAATTTAGCAGCGTTAAATCGATGTAAACCTGCACCCGTCCACACAATGAAGCCCTTTATTTCGACTTAAAGGGCTCTTAAAATCGATTTCCTTACTCCACCCCTGACAAGTGGATTAGCGCTTAAATCGATGTTGCCGGCTCGAATTTGGGGTACTGTGGACACAATTCGATGGTATTGGCCTCCGGGAGCTATCCCAGAGTGCTCCATTGTGACCGCTCTGGACAGCACTCTCAACTCAGATGCACTGGCCAGGTAGACAGGAAAAGAACCGCGAACTTTTGAATATCATTTCCTGTTTGGCCAGTGTGGCAAGCTGCAGGTGACCATGCAGAGCTCATCAGCAGAGGTGACCATGATGGAGTCCCAGAATCGCAAAAGAGCTCCAGCATGGACTAAATGGGAGGTACGGGATCTGATTGCTGTATGGGGAGAGGAATCCGTGCTATCAGAACGCTGTTCCAGTTTTCGAAATGCCAAAACCTTTGTCAAAATCTCCCAGGGCATGAAGGACAGAGGCCATAACAGGGACCCGAAGCAGTGCCGCGTGAAACTGAAGGAGCTGAGGCAAGCCTACCAGAAAACCAGAGAGGCGAACGGCCGCTCCGGGTCAGAGCCCCAAACATGCCGCTTCTATGATGAGCTGCATGCCATTTTAGGGGGTTCAGCCACCACTACCCCAGCCGTGTTGTTTGACTCCTTCAATGGAGATGGAGGCAATACGGAAGCAGGTTTTGGGGACGAAGAAGATGATGATGATGATGAGGTTGTAGATAGCTCACAGCAAGCAAGCGGAGAAACCAGTTTTCCTGACAGCCAGGAACTGTTTCTCACCCTGGACCTGGAGCCAGTACCCCCCGAACCCACCCAAGGCTGCCTCCTGGACCCAGCAGGCGGAGAAGGGACCTCTGGTGAGTGTACCTTTTAAAATACTATACATGGTTTAAAAGCAAGCATGTGAAAGGATTACTTTGCCCTGGCATTCGCGGTTCTCCTAGATGTACTCCTAAAGCCTTTGCAAAAGGTTTCTGGGGAGGGCAGCCTTATTGTGTCCTTAATGGTAGGACACTTTACCACTCCAGGCCAGTAACACGTACTCGGGAATCATTGTAGAACAAAGCATTGCAGTGTATGTTTGCTGGCATTCAAACAACATCCGTTCTTTATCTCTCTGTGTTATCCTCAGGAGAGTGAGATATAATTCATGGTCACCTGGTTGAAATAGGGTGCTTTTCTTCAGGGGACAGTCAGAGGAGCCCATTCCTGCTGGGCTGTTTGCCTGTGGCTAAACAGAAATGTTCCCCGCTGTTAGCCACGGGGGGGGGGAAGGGTTGAGGGGGTAGCCACGCGGTGGGGGGAGGCAAAACGCGACCTTGTAACGAAAGCACATGTGCTATGTATGTAATATTAACAGCAAAGATTACCCTGAAAGAGTGTAGCCACTGATTTATAAAATGTGTCTTTTTAAATACCGCTGTCCCTTTTTCTTTCTCCACCAGCTGCATGTGTTTCAATGATCACAGGATCTTCTCCTTCCCAGAGGCTAGTGAAGCTTAGAAAGAAAAAAAAATGCACTCGCGATGAAATGTTCTCCGAGCTCATGCTGTCCTCCCACACTGACAGAGCACAGACGAATGCGTGGAGGCAAATAATGTCAGAGTGCAGGAAAGCACAAAATGACCGGGAGGAGAGGTGGCGGGCTGAAGAGAGTAAGTGGCGGGCTGAAGAGAGGGCTGAAGCTCAAATGTGGCGGCAGCGTGATGAGAGGAGGCAGGATTCAATGCTGAGGCTGCTGGCGGACCAAACCAGTGTGCTCCAGTGTATGGTTGAGCTGCAGCAAAGGCAGCTGGAGCACAGACTGCCACTGCAGCCCCTGAGTAACCAACCGCCCTCCTCCCCAAGTTCCATAGCCACACCCAGACGCCCAAGAACGCGGTGGGGGGGCCTCCGGCCAACCAGCCACCCCACCACAGAGGATTGCCCAAAAAAAAGAAGGCTGTCATTCAATAAATTTTAAAGTTGTAAACTTTTAAAGTGCTGTGCTTAAAGTGCTGTGTGGCATTTTCCTTCCCTCCTCCACCACCCCTCCTGGGCTACCTTGGTAGTCATCCCCCTATTTGTGTGATGAATGAATAAAGAATGCATGAATGTGAAGCAACAATGACTTTATTGCCTCTGCAAGCGGTGATTGACGGGAGGAGGGACGGGTGGTTAGCTTACAGGGAAGTAGAGTGAACCAAGGGGCGGGGGGTTTCATCAAGGAGAAACAAACAGAACTTTCACACCGTAGCCTGGCCAGTCACGAAACTGGTTTTCAAAGCTTCTCTGATGCGTACCGCGCCCTCCTGTGCTCTTCTAACTGCCCTGGTGTCTGGCTGCGCGTAACCAGCAGCCAGCCGATTTGCCTCAACCTCCCACCCCACCGTAAACGTCTCCCCCTTACTCTCACAGATATTGTGGAGCACACAGCAAGCAGTAATAACAGTGGGAATATTGGTTTCGCTGAGGTCTAAGCGAGTCAGTAAACTGCGCCAGCTTGCTTTTAAACGCCCAAATGCACATTCTACCACTATTCTGCAATTGCTCAGCCTGTAGTTGAACAGCTCCTGACTACTGTCCAGGCTGCCTGTGTACGGCTTCATGAGCCATGGCATTAAGGGGTAGGCTGGGTCCCCAAGGATACATATAGGCATTTCAACATCCCCAACAGTTATTTTCTGGTCTGGGAATAAAGTCCCTTCCTGCAGCTTTTGAAACAGACCAGAGTTCCTGAAGATGCGAGCGTCATGTACCTTTCCCGGCCATCCCACGTTGATGTTGGTGAAATGTCCCTTGTGATCCACCAGAGCTTGCAGCACTATCGAAAAGTACCCCTTGCGGTTTATGTACTCGGCGGCTTGGTGCTCCGGTGCCAAGATAGGGATATGGGTTCCGTCTATGGCCCCACCACAGTTAGGGAATCCCATTGCAGCAAAGCCATCCACTATGACCTGCACATTTCCCAGGGTCACTACCCTTGATATCAGCAGATCTTTGATTGCGTGGGCTACTTGCATCACAGCAGCCCCCACAGTAGATTTGCCCACTCCAAATTGATTCCCAACTGACCGGTAGCTGTCTGGCGTTGCAAGCTTCCACAGGGCTATCACCACTCGCTTCTCAACTGTGAGGGCTGCTCTCATCTTGGTATTCATGCGCTTCAGGGCAGGGGAAAGCAAGTCACAAAGTTCCATGAAAGTGCCCTTACGCATGCGAAAGTTTCGCAGCCACTGGGAATCGTCCCAGACCTGCAACACTATGCGGTCCCACCAGTCTGTGCTTGTTTCCCGAGCCCAGAATTGGCGTTCCACAGCATGAACCTGCCCCATTAGCACCATGATGCATGCATTGGCAGGGCCCATGCTTTCAGAGAAATCTGTGTCCCTGTCTTGATCACTCACGTGACCGCGCTGACGTCGCCTCCTCGCCCGGTATCGCTTTGCCAGGTTCCAGTGCTGCATATACTGCTGGATAATGCGTGTGGTGTTTAATGTGCTCCTAATTGCCAAAGTGAGCTGAGCAGCCTCCATGCTTGCCTTGGTATGGCGTCCGCACAGAAAAAAGGCGCGGAACGATTGTCTGCCATTGCTCTGATGGAGGGAGGGGCGACTGAGGACACGGCTTACAGGGTTGGCTTCAGGGAGCTAAAATCAACAAAGGGGGTGGCTTTACATCAAGGAGTATTTCAGGCAGGACTTCACGGAGGGTTCCAATAAGAAATGGTGCACCTAAGTTATCGTTCTTATTGGAACAAGGGGGTTAGGCTGGCCTCTGATTGATACATGGCTAGATTTACCTCGCTGCACCTTCTCTGTGAGTGACTGCAGTGTGACCTAGAGGAATGAGTCCCCTAGACAGGGGAGGGGGGGAAGCAAATGAGTACAAAACAAATCTGGTCTATTTCTTGTTTTGATCCACTCCATCTATCTTTTACATCTTTGGCTGGCAGCAGACGGTGCAGAAGGACTGCATGCCATCCACATCTCATGGCTGCTCGGCAGAAGATGGTACAGTACGACTGCTAGCCATCCTCATCTCTTGCCTGCCAGGCAGAAGATGGTACAGTACGACTGCTAGCCATCCTCATCTCATGGCTGCTCGGCAGAAGATGGTACAGTACGACTGCTAGCCATCCTCATCTCATGGCTGCTCGGCAGAAGATGGTACAGTACGACTGCTAGCAATCCGTACCGCCTGCCTGCTCACCATAAGACGGTTCAATAGGACTGACTGCAGGACTAAAGAGAATGACCTGGTCAAGTCACTCCAAATTTAGTCCCTGCGCCCATGTCTGCCCAGGCGCTCCCAGCCGACGTGGCCAGGAGCACCTCGGACATGACGAGGACGACTACCAGTCATACTGCACCGTCTGCAGCCAGAAGGCAATGGGTTGCTGCTACTGTGTAGCAATGCCGTACCACGTCTGCCAGCACCCAGGAGACATAGGGTGACGGTTACCTGAGCGGTCTCCATGCTTTCCGTGGTATGGCGTCTGCACAGGTAACTCAGGAAAAAAGGCGCGAAACGATTGTCTGCCCTTGCTTTCACGGAGGGAGGGAGGGAACGGGGGCCTGACGTTACGTACCCAGAACCACCCGCGACAATGTTTTAGCCCCATCAGAGTGCTCCATTGTGACTGCTCTGGACAGCACTCTCAGATGCCCGATTGTTTGCCGTTGCTCTGACGCAGGGAGGGGCGACTGAGGACATGGCTTACAGGGTTGGCTTCAGGGAGCTAAAATCTACAAAGGGGGTGTCTTTACATCAAGGAGTATTTCAGGCAGGACTTCACGGAGGGTTCCAATAGGAAATGGTGCACCTAAGTTATCGTTCTTATTGGAACAAGGGGGTTAGGCTGGCCTCTGATTGATACATGGCTAGATTTACCTCGCTGCACCTTCTCTGTGAGTGACTGCAGTGTGACCTAGAGGAATGAGTCCCCTAGACGGGGGAGGGGGGGAAGCAAATGAGTACAAAACAAATCTGGTCTATTTCTTGTTTTGATCCACTCCATCTATCTTTATACATCTTTGGCTGGCAGCAGACGGTGCAGAAGGACTGCATGCCATCCACATCTCATGGCTGCTCGGCAGAAGATGGTACAGTACGACTGCTAGCCATCCTCATCTCTTGCCTGCCAGGCAGAAGATGATACAATACGACTGCTAGCAATCCTCATCTCTTGCCTGCCTGGCAGAAGATGGTACAGTATGACTGCTAGCAATCTGTATCGCCTGCCTGCTCACCATAAGACGGTTCAATAGGACTGACTGCAGGACTAAAGAGAATGATCTGGTCAAGTCACTCCAAATTTAGTCCCTGCGCCCATGTCTGCCCAGGCGCTCCCAGCCGACGTGGCCAGGAGCACCTCGGACATGACGATGACGGCTACCAGTCGTACTGTACCGTCTGCTGCCACAAGGCAAGGGGTTGCTGCTACTGTGTAGCAATGCCGTACCGCGTCTGCCAGCACCCAGGAGTCATAGGGTGATGGTTACCTGAGCGGGCTCCATGCTTGCCATGGTATGGCGTCTGCACAGGTAACTCAGGAAAAAAGGCGTGAAACGATTGTCTGCCCTTGCTTTCATGGAGGGAGGGAGGGAACGGGGGCCTGACGATATGTACCCAGAACCACCCGCGACAATGTTTTAGCCCCATCAGGCATTGGGATCTCAACCCAGAATTCCAATGGGCAGCGGAGACTGCGGGAACTGTGGGATAGCTACCCACAGTGCAACGCTCCGGAAGTCGACTCTAGCCTCGGTACTGTGGAAGCGCTCCGCCGAGTTAATGCACTTAATGCACTTAGAGCATTTTCTGTGAGGACACACACACTGGAATATATAAAACCGATTTCTAAAAAAAACGACTTCTATAAGTTCGACCTTATTCCGTACTGTAGACATACCCTTAGTTTCCTGGTCATCCAGTGTTGTGATATTCCTCTGTAACTCTTTACAGTTTGCTTTGGACTTAACTATATTGACTAATTAAGTAGAATTGGCAAACTTTGCCATGTCACTTTTTCCAGATCATTTATGAATATGTTGAACAGCACTTGTCCCTGTACAGATCCTTGGGGGGACTCCTCTACTTAACTCATCACACTGTGAAAACTGACCATTTATTTCTACCCATTGTTTCTTACATTTTAACCAGTTACTGATCCATAAGAGGGCCTTCCCTCTTATCCCATGATTGTTTAGTTTGCTTAAGAGCCTTTGATGAGGGACCTTGTCAAAGGCTTTCTGAAAATCTAAATACACTATATCCATTGAATCACCCTTGACCAGCTGTTTGTTGATCTCCTCAAAAAATTCTAATAGATTGGTGAGGCATGATTTGCCTTTACAAAACCCATCTTGACTCTTCCGCAACATCATGTTCATCTATGTATCTGTTAATTCTCAAAAAGAACAGGAGTACTTGTGGCACCTTAGAGACTAACAAATTTATTTGAGCATAAGCTTTCGTGAGCTACAGCTCACTTCATCGGATGCATGCAGTGGAAAATACAGTGGGGAGATTTATATACACAGAGAACATGAAACAATGAATGCTACCATACACACTGTAACGAAAGTGATCAGGTAAGGTGAGCTATTACCAGCAGGAGAGCGGGGTGCGGGGTGGGGGGAACCTTTTGTAGTGATAATCAAGGTGGGCCATTTCCAGCAGTTGACAAGAACGTGTGAGGAACAGTAGACCTAAAAGTGGCAATTCTTCAACAAAAAAAACTTCAAAAACAGACTCCAACGAGAAACTGCTGAATTGGAATTAATTTGCAAACTGGATACAATTAACTTAGGCTTGAATAAAGACTGGGAGTGGATGTGTCATTACACGAAGTAAAACTATTTCCCCATGTTTATTTCCCCCCCTACTGTTCCTCACATGTTCTTGTCAACTGCTGGAAATGGCCCACGTTGATTATCACTACAAAAGGTTTTCTTCCCCCCCCCCATGCTCCTGCTTGTAATAGCTCACCTTGCCTCATCACTCTCATTACAGTATGTATGGTAACACCCATTGTTTCATGTTCTCTATGTATATAAATCTCCCTAC